CAGGTWCAAGACGGGAGAGTGATCATYAATTCTGCTTTGTGTGACGAAAAGCAATTCGTATATCATATATCAGTATTTGGAAAAACGAGAGAAGATTGCCAAGCTCTTTGGAACAAGTTAGGCATTAAAAGTTGACATGCTGAACTAAGAGTATAGTAAACTTGCTGAAGCTAAGTGATCATTGCGTGGCTTTGCACCAAACGTTACATGTAGTTTTCACGTGCAAAAGAACGTGATAACAATTTTCTGTTCTGAGACATGCTGGTCCATAGTTATAGAGTACAGTAGCCTACAGTGGCACTTTGTTTCGATGTTTCGCAAAGACACAAAGACCCACAGCTAGAGTACTTACCCGCTTATAAGAACTTGCAATTTAGAAACCTGTTATCCTAAAAATATCAATTTAGACTCCATTTACATAAGAACATATTTTGCCTAAAATTTCTTAAAGAAATAAACCTAAAAAAATCTTTATGCAAAAAAACATAACTCATACTATAGCATATATAGTGAACCTGAACATGTCTACACTTCTGAATTTGATATAAATAATGTTTGAAAAYCTTGTAAATTTTCATTACACCATTTACATAAGAACCCGTTTAGGCTAAATTTGAAAAAAAGGTTCTTATAAGCGGGTAAGTACTGTATTTCACAGCTACTTGTCGAGATAGAGTTGTCTCGATCCTTCTAAAGATTAAATATATCTAAAGATTAAATATAACAGGATGGTCTGCTCGTTTTTCACGGCCGTTGCCGTTGCCTCACGAGTAGTAAGCGTGTCGTAGTAAGCGCGTCGTTCGGAATATACAACGAATTGTTTTTGGCTACCGGATATATAATTCAAAATGTGACTGGCTATGAAGATGTACCGAAGTCAAACTTTCGATGTTGATGAAAAAAACAACRACACAAACTAAGAGGTTAACAGCATTTTACTACACGTACCCTGAATAGTGAGCAGGGCACGTGTAATTATAAAAATTTGAATGATTCTTTTTGACACATTTTATGCGTGATATTGCAATTATCA